GCAAGGGCTTGGGAAGCAAGAGCAAGGGATTACTACTCCTTTGATGGCTAAGAAAACGGATAGACGAGCCGGGGTTATTGTCAATGCTAGTGACAGTAAGTCTGATAAGAAAGTCAAGAGTGTTAACATCAATGGGGTTCCTACCAGAGTGATGCTACTTAGAAATATGGTATGTAGATTTTTGCACGTTAACTGCTGGTTTGATTTCAGTGCTTATGTGCTTGATAATGATGTTGAGATGTTCACTGAACTTTATGAATTACTTGATAGTTGTGTTCACCTGCATTGTTTTGATGGGTACTTTTAAGAATAGTACAGATTTTGTTGTTTGTGATGCTATACTGTCTCGTGGCGTCTTAATTTGAAAGTAGTACAGGCTAATTGAACTATTGTTCTTTCATTATTTGGAGTCAGATGCAAAGTTATTAATCCCGGATAGCGGAGCGGAGCGGCCGACCCCCGGGAATGGGAAAAGTGGGAATAGCGGGATCCCGGATAGCGGGATAACTTTTTGTATACTAATAATTATATAATAATCTATAAAACATATGTCATGTAATACTAAACTAATTTTACAACACTCATAAAATATTTATAAAATCTAATGTCAAACCAAGAACAATGCTTAATCAAGATTCAAAACATAAAAATTCAAATTCAAACTTAGTACTATCATATGAAAATTCAAGCAAACATAGAAATCATGTAGCATCATCAAAATATTCCTCCAATTCTTCATTTTCTTGATATTCCTCCAATTCTTCATCTTCAACTTCTTCAAAATAGAAAGAAACGGTGTTTACAACAAAACAAAAATAGAAGAAGTAGAAGGTAGAAAGAAAAGAAGTAGAATAAATTGAAGAATTAGAAGAAATTACCTGAGATGGCAGAAGGAGATGGAGGAAGAATCGAAGGAGAGTTGCAGGGAGATGGCGGCAGAATCGTAGGAGAGTTGAGGAATTAGGGCACGATAAAACACAGGGAATGAGGGAGAAAGAAAACAAAATCTGTTTTAAAACAGAGGCATTTAAGTAATTTGGCCCAGAAAATTGTTTAAAAAAAAAAAAAAAGAACCGGAGCCGCTCCGCCCGGGAACTTCCTGCTACCCACTACCCGGGAACGCGGCTGAAGCGGCCGCCTTTTCATCTCCGCTACCGCACCCTAAATAGCGCGCGGGGGGGGTGCCGCACCGCTACGGTGCGCCGCTATAGCGGTCGGAGCGCCCGCTATTGACAACTCTGGTCAGATGTGGCCTTCTGATGTTTAGACTTGGTGATAAGTGGATGTGAAATCAATTATTTATGATTTTGTCTTTTAACTTAATAAGCTATGATCAGATTATATCATTTCCTTATTGAAACAAATACATGATCCTTTTTAATAGATTTTCACTTTGCTAATCATTACGTTTTCTCAGTTTTAAGTCATCTTAGTAATAGTTAGTGACTACTCCTTCAGTATGATTTTGAAGATACATATTAAATATCTGTTACCGTTTTATTCTAGAAGAAAGGAGAGCCAAGTGAGCTGGCCTCTGTTAGTTAGGCATTGTTTGTAGAAACCTGAAAGTGTTAAAGAAGCTCATCTAACACAGTATTAGAGGTAGTAGTGTATAAAGAGGGGGAGAATGTAATTGAGGGAACTTAGTGGTCAGTTAGTTTGTGGTGACTGACCATAGGTTTGATTTCTGAGCAACTTTCTTAATCATATTGGTTCTTAAGTCACGGTTCCCCTTGCTAAAAGACTTGGCTTCCACACATAATCTGGCAGCCACTGTTTGCTTCTTATTGTCCATATATCAGATTTTCCAGAAAGAATACAGTAATCTCATGTATAATATCTTTCTGAAGGAGAACCTGCCCAATCAACATTTGTATAATGGCATATCTCCATATTTTCCTCATATCCATATGACTTATCTACAAAGTACACACTCATCGGAAAATTTAGCCTGACTTCTATAAGATCAGTGATGTTCTATGTACAAATCTTAGGAAGTGAAGTGTGAACAAGAGTAGAAAATAATTGTTGTAAAGATGAGAATAGATGAACAGACATACATGACAAGATACACTTCGTTGAAGAATGAACATATGCGACTAAAAGTTGAGTAACAAATTTTGAGGGTATAAGTAAATGTACATGATAGATACTGTTCCAGAGAATATAGAAATGATGAAAGAAAAGGTTAGAGAGAGAACGAGTACAGTCAGTTGTTCCTTACAGGATTTTGAGACCCTGAAGTCTTTCCTTCTAAAACCAATCCTAACAGAACATAAAGCCCCTTATCTTCTCTCCCTTCTCTTTGTAGCCTATCCATGCCAACCCTGTTAGAATTGTAACCAACATTATCCATGATGACTAGCAAACTAGCTTGTTGGGTGTACCTGACCATCCCCCACCCTGTAATTTTCCCCTTCCCAAGTAAACTTTGGTAGAGTACTCCTCCCCCCAATTATCATGCAGCAATCTTTCACTTTCTCCTTCCTTTGAAATTTTCTCCAATATCTCATGGATTTTGATTCTTGCACGCACGGGCTTGACTATATTTCTCATAACACTATAAATATTACCCCTACTTAACCTTCTCCTGTAATGATACCTCAGAATCTCCATTGGGTTCGTTCCATTGTAACTTGACTAGTTGTTGTGAATTCTTTATTCCCAGACTCATGTATTCCTCTTGGATGAGGGATAACTTCTGTATGAAATTCCTCAGTTGTTGTCGTTACATTTCTTACCTTTGTCAGGTACTCTATTAGGGGAAGAGGCTTTGTTGTGGCCATTTTATTCTTCCCAGGAATCTCTAGATATAATCCATAATTTCAGCCAAAAATATTTTGCTCGGTGTAACTTCAAATCTGCTCTAATCTCTCTGTTTCTTTTTTATTCCTTTCAAGAAAATTCTGGTGGTCTGGTATGGGTCAGCAATGCCATTGTTCTGGTGTATATAGCATGATTAATTTTCTGACTATATGGCTTGATGTACTATCTTGGTTGATCACTTTTTCGTCCCTCCAGAGATGAGCAACTGTTTTTCAATGTCATGTTCTTTTAGAATGTTATGATGTTAATGCAGTATGAGAGGATGGTGTAATTTTAAATGTATGGTGTAATTGTAAATTAGGAGCTAGGGTTTATTAGCAGATTGGGTTTTTTCATATGTTGTTCCTGGAAGAATGTGCCTCTATCTCTTAATTTTGGATTTGGATTACTTCAGAGTTCAGTCAAGTTTGGGTAATGTCTTTTAAGAATTACCGTTCTTTGAGTTTAGTATGTATGGTATATTTTTTTTCTTGGGGGATACTAGCTTCTTTCAAACTGATTTTTATAACTTCATGATGCTAGTAGGGTATTTTTCTCTCTCTTTGAGACGGACCTGGGAGTTGAGGTTCCTCGCATAATATTTTGAAGGAATTGAAATTTTAGTTCCTTTTTTGTAGTTGTGAAATTCTTTTTCACTTTTAGGGGATTTAATGGGGGGATAGGTCCCTTTTTAACTTTGTGCCTTGTAATGTTTGATAAATATTTGCTGACCTGCTTAATATCTCATCTCTACTGTAAACTGTTTAGGCACAGGATTAGAACATAGAGCTATGCACTATTTTTTCGTCATTTGTGTATTAATTGTGAATTCCATCACATGTTTAGTATTGAGCAGAGATATATCACAGATCATAAAAAGCTAGTGCCATGAATACTGGAACTTTAGTCTCCAGAATCCCTGACGAACTTGATTTAATACACGTGTGCTCTGCATGCTTTGAGTCCTTACTGTTAATTTGTCATTAAAAGCCAACAATGATTGTATAGTTCTATCGAAAATGATGTTTAATTTGTTATATTTAAACATGACTCATTGTTGCTTTGTTTTGAAGGTGGGGCCTGGTGAGGTAGATGATGAGCTGGAAGATGAGGTAGGATCAGAATGTGCCAAGTATGGAACAGTAACCCGAGTTCTGATATTTGAGATAACAGAGCCAAATTTTCCCACCGACGAAGCAGTAAGAATCTTTGTGCAGTTTGAGAGATCCGAAGAAACAACTAAAGCGCTTGTTGACCTTGATGGCCGATACTTTGGAGGTAGAATAGTGCGTGCCACATTTTATGATGAGGATAAGTTTAGCAAGAATGAGTTAGCTCCTATGCCTGGAGAAATTCCTGGCTTCACCTAGAAGAACAGAAAGCGTCTGATTTTTATCAAGTTGTTCTTAGTGATTACACTGAAGACTTGAAATTGGAGTTTAATATTTCATTACATGATATTTAAGCTTTTGATTAAGTTCCAATCTTGGTCTAAATGTGTCTGTAACTGTGACTAAGGGTTGTTGCTAAGGGAATTATTGTGATGTCCGCACTGAAAATTCCTTACTTGCACTAATGTAGCCACTGTACATTGTTAAACTTGAACGTTTCTTAATATCATGATCATTTCGAGATTGAGATACCATCAAATAAGCTATCGCTGCATTAATTTACGGAAAATGTACTAAATAGTTTGTACGTTTCTTAATGATATTTTTTTGCAACTCAATGTCTGGCGTGTCATGAATTGGGGAATTGTGGAAAGAACTGCACCGGTATTACTTTTCTCTACTCTCTTGAACAACCAAATAATTTTACTTCAAAACTCCAGACAAGTAATGTATGATATAAATTCATTTTGTTGCACATGAAATTAAAATGAAATTATAGATACATGTGTTGTTTAATTTGTTTGTGCAGATTGTAAAGATGCTTCTTGAACATACAATGTCTGTTAATTGATATATATAATGAAACTTTAGTAGACTGTTGAGAAAAAGGGGCAACCATGCTTTTAGTCAAAGCCATTCAAGAAAATATCATTCTGTTGACATGGAGGATTGTACTAGTACATTACTTCACTATTCTTAATCCTAACACCAAAATCTACGCTCTAACCATTCCACAACAAAAGTATCTTGCAATGCAACGATGAACCTCCCACAAAGGTAGGTGGTATTCAAGCCATTAGAATATTAGTCGATGACATATGGGGAATCACTCTCACCGGTACCAGAAAATTTGGATAAGAAAATCGGATCTTCTTCACTCTCATCAGTTCCAGGAAATTTGCCTCTAAGAATTTGAACTTCAAAGACGATTTTCTCTTCACTGTTTTCCATAAGCTCAAAAACGCACGCGTCTCCAACCTTCAAATTATTATCTTTAACAAAGTTTCTCCAGCCAATTGTATCAAACTGCTTGTATTTCTTTTGCCCATTATAAGCCATGTTCCAGCTCTTACCACGACAGTTGAGAACAGTAGGAACCTCACTAAAAGGAAGGTTTTGGCACATTTTGCCGCTCGGCACCTATATACACAAACAATACAAATATAAATGATCTTTATATGTTCCTTTCTAAAACCTTCATTACAGAATATTGATATTGATTGCTAACACAAACATGAATCTGTCTTGTATACTAAAATGCTCAAGATTTCAATGAACATAGTAAGGAAACGAGACAGAACTTTTGAAACAACAATCAAGTATGTTTCGAAGCACAAAACCGAATGTGCTAAAATCATTGGCCACAAAATTTGTCATAGAAATATAAGATCTATCTCGTTAGAAGCCGATGGAATTGATCCAAATGAGAAGAAATCAAATCATAAATGCAATGCATCAACAATGCAAACGATAGTATTGTTCTGCTCAAAGTATGACAGGAAATTACCAGTTGATTTCGAGGACTAACGTGTGATTTTGCAATAACGACATGAAAGTATGGCTTTCCTGAAAGCGGCTTAATTTCATCCCTTGACATATTTGCCGCTGGAGGGGCTTGATTTTCTGCTGCAATTTGACAGATGCTCACTGAAAATAAATGTGAAGTTAGGGATATGTAAATTGTTTCTACTTTACTTGTTAATAAAATCAAATACTTTGGTGAAACTTTTTTAGCTATTTTACAAATCGGAAGTTGAAATTGTAGCCATTACAATAACAGAACAAGACATGCAAATAGTGTAATTTGTAGCTTATGTGATAATAGGCATGCAATAAGTATTGTCAGAATTATAAGTACATAAAATATAGCAAAAAAAGAATGCATGTATCTTGAAGAGAAGCAAGGAAGAACAGTTTGGTAGAAACTGAATTTAAAGATTACCTGTTCCAGTACTTGACTTTGAAGACGACAGCAAGAGAAGAGAGAAGAGAGAAGAGAGAAACTTGTGGTCTTGTGATGTGAGTACCACCCCAAGCGGTAAAATAAAAATACAACTGTACATATTATTATATATACTCTATTTTTGTTTTTTTGAATAACAACGGTTGCATAAATAAAACATTCATTTAATTTATATGTGTGAAAATTTTTAATTTTTTTAAATGCAAGAGAATAATATTAATAATATACTTGTTATACGTAAAATTTAATCTTTTATTTCAAAATATGTAAAAAAAGAAAGTTTTCGAATAGATGACTTAGCGGAATTTATAGAGCATATCAAATAGGTGATAAAATGAGTTGAGTATTTGTTTGGGCCCGGTCATAGTATCAAAGAAGAATGTTCACATGAAGTTCAATTTGTAGTATTCATTCAATGGAAAAATAAATAGGTTAGGGAAGCGGTGAAAATTGAAGATCAAACTATTAATTAATTTGACTCGCAAGTAAGTAAGAGTCACCAACGCGTTTTATTATTTTCAAGGGAAAAGGGAAAAGTGCGAAATAAAACACATAAATATGGAAAGTGTTCTGGACTGGGCCCAGGTTGGCCCACGAGCAAGAATAGATCCAATCCAAACGGCTCTACAGGGGGCGCGTCGACCAGAAGCTACGACCGTGCCCGTCTCTGCCCACGAACGCAACATCCTCGACCCATGCAGTCCAGCTCGAGTCCAGCTCGAGCACCCCCTCGTAGGGAAAACTGTGACCGTTACACCCTCACCTGAACTCCGAAAAGACCGCGTCCTCGTCCGTCCGTACTTCTCGCAGAGCACCCAGGAAGGAGACCACGTGCGGGTCCCCACTACTCACGTAGAACCTGACAGTTCCTTTATTGGGCCAATCCTGGTCGGCCCAATGAAGGGACCTTGGCCCAGCGCTGGGGGCTATAAATACCCTCCGTTCCAAAAGGGTCAGGTATTCATTCTCTTACCATACACACACTTTTTTGCCTGCTCGTATTGCCACTTACTTTAGCATCAGAGTGCCTTGCAGGTACCCCCCCATCTCGTTCAACTTCAGCTCGAAGCCAGTCGTGACGGTCCAAGTCTGATCAAGTAAGATCAGTGGCGCCGTCTATGGGAGACTAGCTTCCCCGTCTTGCAAAAACTCGAAGACCAAAGCTCAACTCAACTATCACCGTCATGGCTGACCAAGTTCGTGATGAACAAAACGCCCGCGTCGTCGACACCAACAACGGCCTCGCGGATAAAAATGGACACCTTGATAACACCGGTAACCCCGGTCATAACACCATCCCTGTGTCAACTGCCCCCGGGCCTTCAATCCACCGTGACGGAGTTACCGCATCATCCTCCTCGGTCCCTCCGCCACTCGAAGAAGACGATGCAACTCTCACAAACTATCGAGCTGCTCAGTTTCAGGAAGTCCCTGTCCCCGCTGGGGCAGATGCCACAACCCGAGCGCTGTTCGCGGCGATCAATCAGACGAATTACCTCATCTTCGCCCAAGGGGAAAGATTGAGGGCACTTGAAGACGATCGAAGACCCCCGAGGAGGCACCGGAGGCCCCAGACTCCACCTCCTCGAGTGACCGAGGTTCATTTCCCGTCTCCCCCGCGGAGACACTACAGAGATACCTCTCGAAGCTCGTCACCCCCGACCATCGGGGAAACGGCCCCCTTTGGAGAGGCAACCCATCATTGAAGCCAGAGGACGCGGCCGCGCCCCCGCAAGGCAGGAAAGAAGACACTCCGGAGACGGGCATGGAAGAATCAACCAATGAGCACCGCACTCAAGAGATACCCAACACGACCAGGACTGTCGTGCCCGACAGTATTACAGGTCCCCATCCCTGTCCCCGGAGCGAAGCGACGAGGACGACCCCCGCGGTCCCCTGTCATAAGCTATCATGGAGGCGCCCATTCCCCCGGGCATGGAGAAGCCTCCACATTTGAAGGAATACGATGGAGTTGCGGACCCGGTCGACCATATAGACAGGTTCGAGGCTATGCTGCACTATCACAACGTCGGGGGGCCCATCAAATGCCGGCTGTTCCCTACGACCCTCAGAAAGGCAGCGATGGACTGGTATAAAAGCCTCGCCCCGGGATCAATCACCTCGTGGCGGAACCTGAAGAACCAATTCATCAGTTCGTTCACAGCGTCTCGGCGACACCCAAAGACCGAGGCGGCTCTCGAGGCCATCATCCAGAGACAGGATGAAACCTTGAGAGAGTTCATCAATCGCTTCAACCACGAAGCCATACAGGTCCCCTGCGCGGACCACATGAAGAGATATTTGCTGGAGAGGGGGCTCCTCCCCGACACGGAATTCAGAAAGGCCGTGGGTATCGAGCCACCTAGAACATTCGATTCCCTCCTCGAGAAGGCCCGGGTGTACATGGATTACGAGGAGAGAGAGGCGGCCAACAGAGCCCGAGACCCCAGGACTCGCGGGTCCAACAGTAACCCACCCCAGGAAGCTGCTCCTCCTCGACGAACCGGGGAGAAAAGAAAATAAGACAGACCCCGAGAAGTCCGAGAGCAGAGAGGACCCTCGGGGCGTTTTACCGAGTACACTCCGCTCACAGCTTCCCGCGAGTGCATTTTGGTGGAGTGTGCCAGCACAGACTTCAAGGACGGCAGCGTCAAACGCCCCCGACCCGCTCCCTCCAAGCCCGGAGCAGACAAGAACAAGTATTGTCAGTACCATAAGAGCCATGGTCATCTGACTGAAGATTGCGTCCACCTCAAGGACGCCATTGAAATCCCTCATCAAGGGAGGAAGGCTCTCACAATACCGGCAAAACGACGCCTCTCGTCGTGACGCCCGGGAGACAAGAGAACCGGAGGAAGACGCCCGACCATCTGACGAGTCGGTCCCCGTCCAGACCGCCTTCTACGTGACCAGACCCGAGGACTTCAACGTCCCCGAACACCTGCAGGAACCGCTCACAACACACAACAGGTGGTAATACTTCCCCTCCGCCATGGTCATCAACGAAGGAGGATTCAACGACTTGACCATTAATTCGGCTAAGAGGAAGCTGGATGAGCTGGTCGACGTGGCACCCCCTTAAACAGTGACATTTGAAAGGGTAAAAGGCAGGTCAGAACCCATCACCTTCTACCTAGAAGAGCTCCCCGCGGGAGCTCCCAACGCAGTCATCCCCTTATTGATAAGGGCAAGAATGGCTAACTTCAATGTGCATCGCATCCTTGTCGACGAAGGAAGTTCCGTCAACGTAATGTACAACCAACTGTTCAGAACTCTGCAGCTGGACGACTCCCATCTCTCGCCGTACGTAGGGTCGGACTTGCAAGGCTTCAACGGCTCGACCTCCAATCCTTGGGGATATGTCAAGCTCATGGTTACATTCGGCGAAGGCACAACGACAAGGCAGGTCAAAGTACGCTTCCTCGTCATCGACTGCCCGTCCCTCTACAACTGCATCCTGGGGAGACCAACACTGACAGAACTGACAGCGGTGCCCTCCACCGTCCACCTGAAGATGAAGTTCTACACAAAAAGGGCACTGGTAGCTACTATCCAGGGAGACCTAGCCGCTGCTCGGAGGTGTTTCAACACTGCGTCCAAGGGGCGCGACACTGTCGACATCGGGACAAGGCCCGCCAAAAGACCAGCGACGACCCGATAGGAGCCCGACAAGCCAGAGTCCGCCAAGGAAGAAGTCCAGAAAGCTCCACCAAAGGTCGACTCTATAGCCCTGGATGCTCGCTTCGATCAGGACGAACCTCCCAATGGCGAGAAAATTCCACTCCGACCAATACCGGACGGGGATTTTGAGCTCGTCCCCCTCGGCATAGACCCGAGAAAAGGAGTAAAGATTGGCAAGGACCTCCCCGACCTGGCAAGGAAGAAAATCAAAGCCTGCTTGCGCGAGAATGCTGACCTGTTCGCCTGGAGCGCCTCGGAGATGCCCGGACTCGACCCTGAGGTCGCCTGTCACCACCTCGCCATAGATCCTGCCGCTAAGGCCGTAGTACAACGTAGGCGTAGGCAGTCTCCAGAGAAAACGGAGGCTGCTGAAAAAGCTGTAAAAGACCTCCTATAGGAGAATTTCATTTCTGAAGCCCGGTATTCAACCTGGCTGTCGAACGTTGTACTTGTTAAAAAGAATAATGGAAAATGGAGGATGTGCGTTGACTATACCAATCTCAACCGGGCTTGCCTGAAAGATGCTTTCCCTTTACCGAACATAGACATGTTGGTCGACAACTCGGCCGGCTACAAAACATTGTCGTTCATGGATGCTTACTCGGGCTATAATTAAATCCCGATGGCCGTGGGCGACAAACACTGCACGGTTTTCATGACCAGCTCGGGCAATTATTACTATAACGTAATGCCCTTTGGACTAAAAAACGCCGGGGCAACTTACCAATGGATGATGAACAGGGTTTTCCACAAGCAGATTGCGGACATGCTCGAGGTTTACATGGACGACATGATCGTCAAATCCCGAGAAGACACCGATCATGCAGCACACCTCAAAGCAGTCTTCGCCCAAGCAAGACGATGTAAAATGAGATTCAACCCCGAAAAATGCACGTTCGGGGTCAAGGCAGGGAAATTCCTCGGATTCTACCTAACAGAACGAGGAATTGAAGCCAACCCCGACAAATGTCGAGCGTTCTCTGATCTTCCGACTCCGACGACAAAGAAATCAATACAAGTCATGAACGACATGCTCACGTCGTTATCCCGCTTCGTCGCGAGGTCCGCTCAGCACGCCCTCCCCTTCTTCAGACTCCTTCGCAAGGAGACAGCCTTTGAATGGACCGAGGAGCGTGAACGAGCACTGCGCCACCTGAAGCAAAGTCTATCTCTACCACCCGTACTATCTCGACCGGTCGACAGGGAGCCATTATTCCTATACTTGGCCGTCTCAAACGAAGCCGTCAGCGCGGCTCTCATCCGCGAAATCGTCGACGGGCAGAAGCCCGTTTATTTCACGAGCAAGGCCTTGCAAGGACCCGAGAGAAGGTACCAACAGATAGAAAAAGTAGCTCTAGCCCTCGTCAATGCAGCGAGGAGACTCAGACACTATTTTCTGGCCCACACGGTCATCATGCG